CGTGTGCAAAACACACTAATCACAAACCCATCCGAACCTTCAGGTATCGTCAATTTAGGAGCCGATACTAATCTCTTTTTAAGTTCTAGGAAACATTTTCACACTTTTCCGTCCACTAAAAATTCACACCATTTCTAGTCAACTTAGTCATCGGCTTTGCTATTTTTGAGACACTCTCAATAAATCTCCTATAATAGCGAGTTAACCCCAAGAAACTGCGAACTTCATATACATTGGTCGATTTAGGCCAATTTGTTACTGCTTCCACTTTAACTGGGTCTACCTCAATACCCTGAGCGGTAACTACCCGACCAAGGAAACCCACTCGATCGACTCAAAATTCGCACTTCTTGAATTTGACATATAATTTATCTTTCCTCAAAGTTTCGAGTACTACTGAAAATTGTTCATCATGCTGCTTCTTATTTTCGGAGTACACAAGTATATCGTCAATAAATACTATGACGAATTGGTCTAAGTACTGATGGAACACTAGGTTCATTAGATCCATAAATATAGTTGGAGCATTGGTCAAACCAAAAGGCATGACAGTGAACTCATGATGTCCATAATGAGTCCTGAAAGCAGTTTTCGGTACATTGATTGCCTTGACCTTTAGCTGATGATACCCTAACCTTTAGCAGTTTTCCACACAGACAGCATACATCTGCGAGGGTGCAGGACTTTTTCGAGGAGATTGGATGGGATTTTGGATGATCAATCCAGGCTCTTCCATTAGCTAGGCAGAGCAGATCATGACCATTCCACTATATCTTGATGTCTCAGATTGTATTTTCTGGAGGGCCACATCAGATGATAGATTTAATACTAAATCAGCATGGCAACTGATCCGCTCTAGCATGCCAATTCATGATTCATTTCCCATATTGTGGAGCCCTATCATACCTACTATCGTTTCGTTCTTCTGTTGGAGACTATGGCATAATTTAATACCAATTGATGTCATTATCCAGAGGAGGATCGGTAGTCATTTGGCTTTTCAATGTTAGTGTTGTTATGAGATTGAGACCATCACTCATATTTTTACTGGTAGCAATAATTCAGATCATGTTTGGCAACATTTTGGAGCTTTATTTCAGATTACCATGAGTACGGAGAGAATGTCAGACAGAGATTTTTGAAATGGAAGTATTCTGGACAGTTTGCAAGGACCGGACACATTCGTATCATTATTCCTCTATTGATTTTTTGGTTTCTTTGGACTAAGATGAATAATGCAAAGCACATGAACATACGTATACGTTCGAGACGTATTGTTTGGAGAGTTTACCGTATGGCATCCTGCCTCCACAT